TATTTGACCCTTTAGAAGCTGTTCTCTTCACCTGATCTGAATGTTTCTGATCTGAAGTTTTTAAGTTCTGATCTGATCTGATCTGAATTTTTCTGATCTGATCTGAATCTTTCTGAAGTGATCTGAATGTTCCTGATCTGATCTGAATGTTCCTGATCTGATCTGAATGTTCCTGATCTGATCTGAATGTTCCTGATCTGATCTGAATGTTCCTGATCTGATCTGAATGTTTCTGATCTGATCTGAATCCTTCTGATCTGAATCTTTCTGATCTGATCTGATCTGATCTGATTTGAATATTTCTAAAATTATAATTACAATTATAATTACTATAATTATAAATGTAATTATAATTTAAATATAATTATAAATGTAAATATAAATTATAATTACACATATATAATTTAAATATAATTATAATTATAATACTTTAATAAAAATTTTAATTATAATTACAAACATAATTATAATAGGTATAATTATTATTATACGTATTACACTAGTTTAGTTATAAATATAGCTATAATTATAATTGTAATTATATTTATAGTTTTATTTATTTCTATAATTATAATTTTAATTATAATTATAATATTTATTTCTATAATTGTAATTGTAATTACTCCGTATAATATGATAATAACGAAAACAAAACTAATAACAATAACAACAACAACCATATTCCGTATAATATGATAATAACGAAAACAAAACTAATAACAATAACAACAACAACCATATTAGTAGTAAGAATAATAATAATAATCATGATAATAATAAATATCATAATAATAATAATAATCATAGTAATCATAGTAATCATAGTAATAATGATGATGATGATGATGATGATGATAATAATAATAATTACAATAACAACAACAAGAATAATAAAAATTATAATTATTATAATTATTATAATTATTATAATTATTATAATTATTATAATTATTATAATTATTATAATTATTATAATTATTATAATTATTATTATAATTATTATTATAATAAAAAAGGATAAATCATGTCTGAACTTTTCTGATCTGATCTGAATGTTCCTGATCTGATCTGAATGTTCCTGATCTGATCTGAATGTTTCTGATCTGATCTGAATGTTTCTGATCTGATCTGAATCTTTCTGATCTGATCTGAATGATTCTGATCTGATCTGAATCTTTCTGATCTGATCTGATCTGATCTGAATTTTTCTGATCTGATCTGATCTGATCTGAATAAAATAAGAATAAGCAATAAGTAATAAGATTAAGACGAACAGAACAGCTTCTTAGTCTTTGGGAAAATGGAAACTAATAATCCAATCTTTTAGCGGTCTTCTTTAAATAATCTCACCTTTTGATTATTCATGAATAATCCAACCTTTGCACCCCATCTTCATTTGTTGGTCCCTGATCGATTAATGACCTGCTATTCCAAGTTATTTTCTTATCTTTGCAAAATATTATCTTTGTGAAAGATGAGATTTATGGTATAATGATTTGCAAAGATAAGAAAATAGTTTGGAATAGCAGGTCATCAACCAGTCAGGGACTAGTGAATGAAGATGAGATGCAAAGTTGGATTATTCATGAATAATCAAAAAGTGGGATTATCGAAAGAAGACCGCTAAAAGGTTGGATTATTAGTTTCCATTTTCCCTTAGTCTTTTTACAATCTCGGTTCTCAGATTTATAGAATTTAGAAGCTGTTCCGTTCACCTAATCTGAATGTTTCTGATCTGAATTTTTTAAGTTCTGATCTGATCTGATCTGAATTTTTCTGATCTGATCTGATCTGATCTGATCTGATCTGAATCTTTCTGATCTGATCTGATCTGATCTGAATCTTTCTGATCTGATCTGAATCTTTCTGATCTGATCTGAATGTTGCTGAACTGATCTGAATGTTGCTGATCTGATCTGATCTGATCTGAATGTTTCTGATCTGATCTGAATTCTTCTGATCCGAATCTTTCTGATCTGATTTGAATATTTCTATAATTGTAATTGTAATTACAATTATAATTATTAGATTTATAATTGTAATTAAAAATATAACTTAAATAAAATTACAATTATAATCATAATTATTAAAAAATAATAATTAAAATTAAATTTAAAATTATAATAATTATACCAATTACACTAATTATAAATACAGATACAATTATAAATGTAATTATATTTTTAATTATGATTAATTTTATAATTATTATTATTGTAATTATAATTATAATATTTATTTCTATAGTCATAATTATGTCTATAATTACTAATTTAAATATATAATTACTCCGAAGTAATAATAATTACAACAATAACAACAAGAACAACAATCATATTAATAATAATGATGATTATAATTATAATTACATTGTAAATCATAATTATAATTATAATTATAAATATATTATATTATATTATATTATATTATATTATATTATATTATATTATATTATATTATATTATATTATATTATATTATATTATATTATATTATATTATATTATATTATATTATATTATATTATATTATATTATATTATATTATATTATATTATATTATATTATATTATATTATATTATATTATATTATATTATATTATATTATATTATATTATATTATATTATATTATATTATATTATATTATATTATATTATATTATATTATATTATATTATATTATATTATATTATTATAATATAATAATAATTTTATATTATTAACATTATTATTATATTATTATTAATAATATTATTATATTAATATATTAATATTATTAACAATAACTATAATATAATAATCATAATTAATATAATAATAAAAGTGATAAATCATGTTGGAATTTTTTGACCTGATCTGATCTGAATGTTTCTGATCTGGTCTGATCTGGTCTGAATCTTTCTGATCTGATCTGAATGTTGCTGTTCTGATCTGAATCTTTCTGATCTGATCTGAATGTTTCTGATCTGATCTGATCTGATCTGAATCTTTCTGATCTGATCTGATCTGATCTGAATAAAATAAGATTAAGGAATAAGTAATAAGATTAAGACGAACGGAACAGCTTCTAATCGGAGTTTTGATTATTTTAACACTCTTCTTTATGTATATGACATTAGATTTCATTCACATGCTAAACTTAATTAACGAAAGTTCTTGAAAGTAAAAATAAAGTTTCATCATAATTTCGAGTTATAATTATCATTCGTTATTCTTTTTATTGAGACTAGACAAAACTAACTTTGTTATGATCGAGCTAATGGTCCTAACATATATCAAAATTAATATTGTTTCCTTTCATTAATATAAGTTATGACTGTTATTTATAATTCCTTTGATGTCATTCGTCATTTGTCTGGATGATATTTCTTGTGCTAGTAGCGAAGAAGAAGGAAAATGGGTAATCACGATGGCAATTTTTTTCGATTTTAAGAACAATATTTGAGGACACAATTAACTAAATTTGAAATTATATGAAGTTAAATAACAAGAGGCAAATAGAGAGAATGATTAAGGCTGAATAATTTACGAATTCACTTTAAAAATAATGCTAAGTGAAACTAGTAATCATAACCTAGTCGGAAGAGAGTAATAATAAGGAAAAATTGAAAATAATAATCTCAACTATTAACGGTCCGTCTTTAATTATTCCAACTATCAATTATTTATGAGTGGTCCCAACTATAGAGATTATTTTCCAAAAAAAAATCTCTAACCTGTTATAACCTGGTATAGCAGGTCATTTTAAATGTGAACTGTATATAAGATTTAAATAATTCCAACTATAGTTGTCCTTTTTATTATTAATCTCAACAATCAACTACCAACTCTCAATTTTCGGAAAATATAAAAATAGTTTTATAAATTTCCAAATTAAATATTTTTAAGCATGAAAATTTAATTATGAAAATCTACAAATTTACCGAAATTAAATAAATAATAGTCATTTTTTATTTATTTTTACTAAAATTTCTTTTTTTTCCATTTTCCAATTTGTTTTTCACAGTTGTGTTAGCAATTTATGATTTTGTATTATTTTCTTTATTAAAATTTACATTTTCTATTTAAAAAAAATAAATAGTGATTAAAAAATTACAATTTAGATTTTTATTCTAGCTTAATCTGAAAATATAAAATTTATATTTATTCCATTTTAGTATTTTTTAATTTCTACCAATGTACAAATGTGAATAACATGAAATGACGATAGAAAAACGTTTACCAAAATGTTTACCAAAAGTTCACACTTTTTCTTCCAAAATAGTTGGAATTATTATTACCATCGTGATACACTTTTTCATTCCATTATATATCACCTAAAATTAAAATATTAATACATTTTCAGTGAAAATAGTCAAAACCTTCAAAACCTAAACCCCAAATCACTAAAACTAAACGATACACAATATGTTATAGGATAAAGGGTCAAATTGACCTTCGAACTAACTTAAAAAGTTCAATCCATCCCATATATAGGAGGCTCTGTCAGCCGTCGCCAATGGGGGCGGTTACCGATGAATTTTTTTGATGAAATTCTTTGAGCATCTTCTTAATTAAATCTAGTTTACTCATACCAAATTTTAGCTAAAAATTCAATAGGGAAGGCAGTCAAATGAATTTTTGTAGATAACTGCGCAGTTAAACAATGCAGTACATCTCAGAAAATCATTTGACTGCCTTTCCGGACGAATTTTTATATGTAATTTGGTATGGATAAACTAGACTTAATGAAGAAAATGCTCAAAAAATTTTATCAAAAAATTGCAATGGGAACCTCCCCAATTGACGACGACCGGACAGAACCTCCTATATAAGAGGTGAATTACACTTTTTAAATTAATTTGAGAGCCTATTTTCCACACCCCATTTTTTTTTTTCGAAAATACCCCATTGCATTTCTGAAGAGTGAATCAAGAAATAATCGAATTTGGATGAGCCAGCCAAAGCAAGACAACAAAAACAAGTTTCAAGCGCTTTTGGAGTTTCAAATCTCCACACTTTTTGTTGGACGATAACACGGACCTAAAGAAAAAAAATTGAGGAAAAACCATCTGTCATCAACCAGTCAAGCTCAAAATAGTCTTTCCCGTCACAACATAGTGGGAAAAGGTGAATCTTAGCGAGAGAAACTAGAGAGAGAGTTTGTGAAAATTATGAAGACGAAGGGATTGAAAAAGAAATTCCTTGATACGGAATCTTCTCAGCTCTCCGAAAATGTCGCCGTCGCTGGTGACGCGCGTTTCTGTGAGGCGCCTCGGCGTATTACTGAGGCGAGCGTCGGAGCTGATGTAGAAGGGGTGGCTGCGGCGTCGGAGGAGGAGGAGGACGGAGAACAGCTGGACGAACAGTGGGATGACCCCCAGATCGAAGTAGCTGAAGGCCATGCGTATGAAGGGGGGAACCGAAGACCAAAGCTAGCAGAAGGGTTTTATGAGATTGAAGCCTTAAGGAAGAAGAGAGTTCGAAAGGTACAATCTTTGTTTTTTTATTCATTTAAACCTTTCTTATCCCAAAATTTTCTTTTTGATTTTTCCAATGTTTCAACTTTTTACCTGATTTTACGCCTATTGTTTGTGATGATTGTATTCCACAACTTCTGCAATTCAAAAGGGCCAAGTGCAGTACTTGATCAAATGGTACGTAACATGATTTCCCCATTTCTATGCAATTCTTCCGCTTAGTTGGCTGATTGGTATCTTGCTGTTTTTATTATATTGCAAAAGGCGAGGCTGGCCAGAGACGGCAAATACATGGGAGCCCGTTGAAAACCTGTCATCATGCTCTGATTTTATAGAGGTGTTTGAAGAAAGGTTTAAATCTTGTTACCCTTCCTTACTGTGTTCTTTTTAATTGCTCTTTATTTTGATAGAACAAAGAAAAGCTGCAATCTTGAAAATTTATTTCTTCATTTGCTTTGTATATGAAGTTTGCGGTCTGGAAAAAGATCCACCCGTGGGCGTAAGCGCAAGCACAGCATTACCCACACCCAAGCAAAGAAAAAACAGAAACTCCAGCAGCCATGCTCCCCTGAAGCTGTGGCATACAGCCTACCACCCATGACGGTCAGGCAAGTAGATGAACCACTGCCCATCCCATCATATGATGACCCAAACATTGTTAATCATCAAATGAAGAATGAAGCTGAGCTGGCGGCGCATGAATGTCAAGAGATACTGAACTCTTCTGAATGTAGGAAAACAAGTGAACCAAATGATTTGGATTCGAAACTTAGTGAACTTAGTGAAACTCCTCTGACTGATGGACCCCATGTAAATAATCAATCTCACGATGAACCTGGTCGGTGCATTGGAGCTAAAAGGAGGAAGTCAGGGTCGGTCAAGAGATTCAAGAAAGAGTCTTCCTCCAGTGTATTTGATGATGTGGCAGACCGAGTAGCAAGTTGCAACACCAGTGTGGCTGTGTCTGAAGGAGTTCAGAACTGTGCATTTGTGGGAAACGATTGGGCTTACAAGGGTTTTGAAGATGCATATAATGTTACTCAGATTGTCAAACCAATGGGCTATCAGACTTCAATGTCCAATGAAGTCCAAGAAGTTTCTATAACCTTTCTGGCTAAGAGGTATGCTACTTAGCACCGACTTCTCTCTCTCTCTCTCTTAAATTTTCAAGTGTTATATCTGCCAATTAATATCTAGATATAATAATGGTTTAATTTACATAATGCTGATTGGGATAGGATGCTCATCTCTTCACCTTGGCTTTATTCTTTATGTTACATATGGTTTCATATGGTTAGAACTTAGTCTGTCCCATAATGAAATTTCTTCTCATGTTCCTCAGAATATACCATTTACCAAAAACCAATGTACTTGTTTATCAAATACATACAAAGTTTAGTGCTGTAAACTCAATTACTCTCTCCTTCCCAAATTGAGGTTTTTTTTTTCTTTTTTCGTAAGGTTTTAACTTTTCTACCGTTGCAATGTACAGCTCTTGTAAATTATCAATGACACATCTATTTTTAAATTGTTAGGTTAGTTAAGCTAAATTTATTAACTTGTTTAGAGAACTTTTTTCCTTTATAAATCTGCATTAGATTCAATTATAGTTATAATATTTTGTTGAAATACTCTGTGTTTGGACAAAAAAAGCTTTCGAACCAGACTGTTTCTTTTGGGACTGAGGAAGTAGTATTTGTTGTTTGCTGTTATACCTATGACATTGGAACACAAAAATGGACAAATGGTAGCATGCAATGGCACACATGCTTCAATATAGCTTTGAGATACTTTTGACCTGACTAGGATTTTTATGTCTATTCATGTGCTGGTTATTGTTGTTTTCATAGCCTAATATATCGTTCCTACATTGTGAAAATCTTTACCATTAGTTAAATGCAAGAAAATGCCTTATTAGCCATTTTCAGTTGCAAATGTTTATTGGAACACTGGTATGTGTGGAGTGTAATGGGGAAAAATTATTATTAGCATAGATTGTGTTTTCAGTTGCATTTGTTTCTTGGAACACTGTCCTGTACTGTTCTAGAAAAAATGTTCACTGAGATCGTTTCAAACTCTTTTTTGTATGTTTGTAGTTTGCAAAAACATTTTAAATGGTGCTGTCTTGGTTGATGATTCACCCATATAGTCCACTTAATAGTTAATCCTCTTAAAATATGAAAACCCCATGAAATGAAATGATGATACCTTGATGGCTATATTTCGGTGACTGAAACCCTAAAGTCTTAAATACTTTCAGTTATCACAAATAGGGGTGACGAATATGCATATTTTGCACTGCACTACAGGTGTGACGGGAAAGAGATAACAGTGGACAACAAATTTCTGAAGGCAAAAAATCCACTTCTGGTACACAAAGTTCTCTCATTTTCAATTCTGATTTTGTCTTGCAACATATTTAGTTATTTGATGTTGCTTTTGCTAAATTTTATGCAGCTAATAAACTTCTACGAGCAACATCTACGGTACAACCCCTCTGAGTGAGTAAAGATAGGGGAAGCCGTGGTCTGGTTAGCATGATTTCCCCTTTGCTAATGTATAGTGTGGTAGACTATAGTTTTTGTAACACTTATGGCTGTAGAATATAGTTTAAGCTGAAGTACATGGTGTTACGATACATCGATATGGGGAGCTAGATATCCCACAAATGATGGCTATTATGGTTGTTGCAGCGTAGCATATCTTATTAAATTATTTATTTATGTGCATAATTCGAATGCCATTTTTTGTTGGCATTAGCCTTGTTTAAACCTTGACTCATGTCGTTTCTTTGTGGTTCATTGATACACATTTTGAATGGAAAGCTAGAGTGGAATTTTGGCTCTGCTGAACCATAGCAACTGTTGTGTACTTTGTACTATATCAGTTGTAAAAGAATATCTTAATTTACATTATCATCTTACTGTAATGAGTGACGATGTTACTTACGGAGTATTATCCACTTGTGATCTCACATGTTCTCATTATAGTTGGTTTCAACTACTATGAGTGTAAGCAAAACTGCTTATCTCAATATCTCCTTCACCTCTTATGTAGTTGCCACATGCAAGTGCTTCCTCCCATCACACACTGAGAATATGACGTGTAGGGTGATGTGTGTTTTCTCGCACTTAAAAAGATTGTAATATAGTGGTGTAAGTACGAGTATCGTCTCCACAGGGACGGACAAAAGGGAAATAAAGATTAACTAAACTTTAGCGATTAAAAAGAAAATAAAATAAAAACGTCGTGCGAGATTGGTTGGTTTGAAAAATAAACTAATGCGAATAAAACGATTAAAATAAAAGTGGTTTCTTCTCAATTAACGACGAAGGGAATAGGAATTGATTCCGGGGTAATCAGATTTCTGGCAGATCAGGCCAAATTACATGAATTTAATTTAATTGAGCCTAGCTAATCATTACTAAGTTCTTACCGCTCTCGCGGCGTAGAGTACAATAATTTAGGGGACCAGGCTGATCTCTCATGCGACAGGATCCTAAATTATTGCCAAGACGAGCGAGCTTACGGCCCCTTAATCGCTACTAATCTCTTAGCGAACGATTAAGTGTGTGTGAATGTGTCCTAGAACAAATTAGATCTCTCTTAATTCATTCTACGTGCAATTGTAATTCTAGCTGCAGTCTAGGTTACAAGAGATATCAATTAAATTATTCAAACACAAATTAAACGGCATTCATGCAATTAAACCGACAAGAATCTAGCCATACATCATGATTAACCCCTTCATCAACCCCAAATCCCTAATTAAACTACTCACAATTCATAATTGAAGAATCAACAGAATTGAGATGAATAGAATAAATTGTCATTAATTAAAAAGATGAACTTACAAATAATCCCAGGGTCTTGAAAGAAAATAGCGTAAAAACGGTGTTAAATTCGTCCCTAGGCCTCTCCGTAATGTTCGTAACCCCCAAAACGGGGTTATGGAGGCCTTATTTATAGAAAACAACGAATTCGGGTCGAATTAGGATCAATCGCGGCCAGGCACGGTGCCAGGCACGACCGTGCCTACGACCGTGCCTACGGAAGGAGGCCGAATTTCGCGTCCAGGCACGGCGTGCCTGACTGCCAGGCACGACCGTGCCTGGCCTCCAGTAGCTCGTTTCTTCGAAAAATGCCAGGCACGACGTGCCTAGCTGCCAGGCACGACCGTGCCTGGCCTCCAGTAGTTCGCAGGATCATCTCGCATCAGGCACGGTGTGCCTAGCTTCCAGGCACGGCGTGCCTAGCTTCCAGGCACGGCGTGCCTGACCCTATTCTTCACTTTTCCTTCGTTTTCTTGCTCCGAATGCTCCCGGATGCCAATGAGGTCGATCCAACTGCTCTTTCTTCACCAGAATTTCGTCGCGAATCTCCCGGTGGCCTCCAAATCTTCCAAATCTTTCTCGAATGCCTTCAAATCCTTCCCGAATGCCTCTCAAGCGCCGATTGACGGACTCTAACTTCTTCAAATCAACTCCAAATGCAATGAAACTCGATCCAACGCCTGCTAAACACAACTTGAGCCAAAATTGAGACTTGCAACACCTTAAAGCCAGGAAAATCATCAAAGTCCGACCCGAACACGCATCAAATGCGTGTCTAAATACAGACTTATCAGACTCCCCCACACTTAAGCTTTTGCTTGTCCTCAAGCAAATCGAACAACGGGACTTACGATAATCACCACACGGAATTTAAAATAGTTAGCATACACACGAAGTTAAAGGGATATTCACAGGAGAGACAATTTAAACCAAGAAAATTCTTCCCTAAACTACACCTTTGTACTCAAACTAAACTATTTGACATAAATATTCACAACATCCTCAAAGTAGTGACAGCACACACAAATAAACTAGCTATCGATCAGAAGGACTTGTGAAGGTGGTGGTGAATGGTTCATGGATAACAAAAATAGTCCCTTTCTTTTGAGAGATTGGAATATTCTAACAAAGACTCTATGCATTCAGGAACTTCAGGGCTATTTTTAGGAACAAGGAACTCAGTAAGCCACAATTTAGGAACAATCATTTAAACCTATGCAAAGAGTAGACATGGTGTACAACTAAGCTAAACCGTCTCGGCACATTTGTGCTTTGACGTATACTTGAAGTACGCGAAGGACTAAAGCTAATTTTTGCAATAGCCTCCAAGTTCATTTAATTAGGTTCAGTTTTCCTTGTCATGTTGGCACGAGAACGCCGTTTCTTTCGAAAGATACCCAAGTCTCATCTTAAGCTTTTTGACTCGGGCTCTCATTCCCTTTTTCGAAAAGTAAGAGGTCTAGCTATATTAATTTTTCACCTCTCGGATTCTCACTAGACATTACTCCATTCTAATCTCGGCCTCACCAAGGAAAAATAGCAATTTTAAGTTCATTTATCTAAAAGTGAATCCATGCCTACAATGCAATCCTCGAAAGTATCAAATTCCTAAAAAGTGACTGCTCTTACCCCATTTGGGGCATAGGAACAGTGCCAAAAATGGCTCCTACACAAATTCCCTAAACTTAGCAAATTAATCCCTTAGTTCCCTAAACATCAAGACTAAGTTAGAAATATTCACGGGTAAGGAAACACAGGCCATTTGGCTATGGAGCTAAATTAATTGGGTAAACAAAGAACGGTCAAGCTCAAAATGGCTTCTCCTAAAGGGTCTTATTCAGGTAGGGTGGATGATTAATGGATTAATTGAATGGGTAACTAATGCCTTCATCCTTTCAACAACTAGATTATAGTGCAAGCAATTTAAGCCTAAACACTTCAAAGATGCTCTAAAAGTATAGTCAAAATGCTAGCCAGCTCACAAAGACACAGTTTAAAGAAAAAATTTCAAAAATTTTGCATGAATTTCCTATGAATATACAACTAACACCTGCGCATGCTAACTCTAATAAATCTCATGTAACAACCACTGCCCGAATGCCCAATTCACTCCCCCACACTTAAACTTTGGCATCGTCCTCGATGACCAAATATGCATTATGTACAAGGGGTAAAGAGGAAAGGGTCACACGTGCTCAACTTAACTCAAGTCATTATTACAACAAGCGAGTAAAAGAGTCAAAGAAACTTCCCTATGGCGCTGGTCGGTGCAGAACTAAACTGAGTCAATGTAATCCTTGGCACATCACCCAAATAACAAGACCCTGAGCTGCAACAAAAACACAAAGCAAAACAACCAAACAACAAACAAAGAAAAAGCAAAAACAAAAGCAGAAAAAAGCTCGGGTTGCCTCCCGAGAAGCGCTATTTTTAACGTCGTTTGCCCGACACAACTACCCCATAGACTCTCCAATAGCAAAGACTGTAGTGGTGCACTTATAGTCAACGTCTCCAGCTTCCTCTCAACAAATGTCATTAAGTGGCGCAGATCTTTAAATTCGTCAGCCCACGAAGGCAGCACATGGTCTTCATAACCCTCATCAGCACAGAAGTGAAGTATGAAACTCTCATCCTCTTCAGTTGGACAGAAAACATGAGTGAACACTTTGATTACTCTAGGTATCACCGGAAGCTCAAAAGATATCTCAAAGCAAGGAGTAGGAGCAACACCGTAATCAAATTGCACCATACAAAAGTCTTCTTCTTCCTCACAAATATCATGAACATTCACAACCTCTCCTTCAGACTCTGTATCACTCCCCATGAAGGCATCCCAACTCTCGTTAACACCGTTCTCATCAGGGTCTTCAAAAACATCAGGAAGTGTATCATCCATCATATTCACACCATCATAGTCTGACTCGCTCACGTGATCATCCATATTGGTCTCCTCGGGTTGGGCTTCTGTGTCGCTAGGATGGGATCTATCGGACTCCTCAGATAAAGCCTTTGCAATCTGCCCCAATTGATTCTCCATGTTTTGCATCCTTGAGTCTGCTTGCTGTTGAATTTGGATTTGTTGCTGTTGAATTTGCATTTGTTGCTGTAATAATTTCTTGAGTGTTTCTTCCAGGTCAGACAGCTTCTCTGAAATTATCTCTTCCCATTCGTCGTCTGATTCCTGTGGCGCATAACTCGGCAAAGACGTAGGAGTGATTGAAACATTTGTCTTTGTGAGTTGTGGGGAGGACGAAGTGGGGTATGCAGTTGCCCAGTAAGGATGGTCGTATGGAGGAATGGGGCAAAGACATGAATGGTGACCACCTCCACAAAAGTTACAAATGCTATTCTTAGGAAAGTAATCAACCAATTCCTCGGGACTTTTAGTTTGAATGAGAAATTCCATAATGGAGCCTGGTTTTGTCCGAGGATATTGTGGATAAGGATATTGATTCGGAGAATGAGATTGAGAGTATTGCGTATTTGGAAGAGGGTAAGAATAGGAAGATGGGAAATTTTGTGGTGTAGGAGAAGAATTTTGATGAGATGTGTAATATTGAGGAGGAGGAGGAGGAGGAGTGTAAGGAGGGTATGGTGTATATGTTGAATATTTCATGGAGGTTTGAGGGTAAGGAATTCCTCCAGGAATTTGGCTGAATAGGTTCATCTCATGCCTCTTAGAAAAAATACCTGAAAGGTTAGCACAGAAAAATCCTACGGAAAACAAAAAGAAAACAAACTAAAAAAAAAAAAAAATCTCGCTGAAATTAATTAACCCTTAAAACCGACACCGTCCCCGGCAACGGCGCCAAAAACTGATGTGTGTTTTCTCGCACTTAAAAAGATTGTAATATAGTGGTGTAAGTACGAGTATCGTCTCCACAGGGACGGACAAAAGGGAAATAAAGATTAACTAAACTTTAGCGATTAAAAAGAAAATAAAATAAAAACGTCGTGCGAGATTGGTTGGTTTGAAAAATAAACTAATGCGAATAAAACGATTAAAATAAAAGTGGTTTCTTCTCAATTAACGACGAAGGGAATAGGAATTGATTCCGGGGTAATCAGATTTCTGGCAGATCAGGCCTAATTACATGAATTTAATTTAATTGAGCCTAGCTAATCATTACTAAGTTCTTACCGCTCTCGCGGCGTAGAGTACAATAATTTAGGGGACCAGGCTGATCTCTCATGCGACAGGATCCTAAATTATTGCCAAGACGAGCGAGCTTACGGCCCCTTAATCGCTACTAATCTCTTAGCGAACGATTAAGTGTGTGTGAATGTGTCCTAGAACAAATTAGATCTCTCTTAATTCATTCTACGTGCAATTGTAATTCTAGCTGCAGTCTAGGTTACAAGAGATATCAATTAAATTATTCAAACACAAATTAAACGGCATTCATGCAATTAAACCGACAAGAATCTAGCCATACATCATGATTAACCCCTTCATCAACCCCAAATCCCTAATTAAACTACTCACAATTCATAATTGAAGAATCAACAGAATTGAGATGAATAGAATAAATTGTCATTAATTAAAAAGATGAACTTACAAATAATCCCAGGGTCTTGAAAGAAAATAGCGTAAAAACGGTGTTAAATTCGTCCCTAGGCCTCTCCGTAATGTTCGTAACCCCCAAAACGGGGTTATGGAGGCCTTATTTATAGAAAACAACGAATTCGGGTCGAATTAGGATCAATCGCGGCCAGGCACGGTGCCAGGCACGACCGTGCCTACGACCGTGCCTACGGAAGGAGGCCGAATTTCGCGTCCAGGCACGGCGTGCCTGACTGCCAGGCACGACCGTGCCTGGCCTCCAGTAGCTCGTTTTTTCGAAAAATGCCAGGCACGGCGTGCCTAGCTGCCAGGCACGACCGTGCCTGGCCTCCAGTAGTTCGCAGGATCATCTCGCATCAGGCACGGTGTGCCTAGCTTCCAGGCACGGCGTGCCTAGCTTCCAGGCACGGCGTGCCTGACCCTATTCTTCACTTTTCCTTCGTTTTCTTGCTCCGAATGCTCCCGGATGCCAATGAGGTCGATCCAACTGCTCTTTCTTCACCAGAATTTCGTCGCGAATCTCCCGGTGGCCTCCAAATCTTCCAAATCTTTCTCGAATGCCTTCAAATCCTTCCCGAATGCCTCTCAAGCGCCGATTGACGGACTCTAACTTCTTCAAATCAACTCCAAATGCAATGAAACTCGATCCAACGCCTGCTAAACACAACTTGAGCCAAAATTGAGACTTGCAACACCTTAAAGCCAGGAAAATCATCAAAGTCCGACCCGAACACGCATCAAATGCGTGTCTAAATACAGACTTATCATAGGGTTTCTTTGGTTTAGAGAGCAGGTCATCGGTAAAGAGCAGGTTGTTATGGTACAGTCCCTCCAAAGTCCAAAGGAACCTCTTAATCAGTCATGGTCAGTCACCGGTCTCTAGTTTGGTACATGGTTCCATACTTCCATCTACTGGTTACTAAAGCCCAATAAAATATAAAATCAGTACAAGCCGTCCAGAGTCCAGACCTATTTTGGAGGATCTGGTGTGAAAAATACCCAATTACTGATAGCGGTCTTGTAAATGTTGCCCTAGAGTACATTGTAACCTGAATCATTTGCTTCTTTAGTTCTTTACCACAGTGATCTTAAGCATTCGTGTTTATAGTTTTCACCCAATTGACTCATGAATGAATTGTTTTAGTATATGAAGAGAATGGTCATTATACACTTTTTGCTCGCATAAACTTAGAGTCAAATGAATTTTGTCATCCAAATATCCAATCGTTCTATTAAATTTGGACTAAGGATTTAACACATACTAAGAACAGGAGGAATGGTATTGTGGGCCACTAAATAGTAAATACGCTTAAATATTTTAGGCGGACCAAAATGCAAGAATGAGAGAAAATATGAGACGCATAGAGCAATGAATTAAAACCCAACACTATTTATGATGATAATGGTCTGGATTAGGGGTGGATTCGGGCCGGGCCGGCGGTTCGGAATTGGTGGACCCGGGACCGGCCCGGGTAGCCATTGGGTCCGGGCCTCCGGTTTGTTTTTTTTTTTTTTTTTTTTTTTTTTTTTTTTTTTTTTGCTTTCCTACCCCCCCCCCCCCCCACCCCCCAAACCCCTCCTAACCATCAAGCCCAACCCGGGTGTACCCCCAAAAAATGAAAAAAAAAAATATCACTTTGGCCCGGGCCTGGGCCCGACCCGGCCGGTTCGCCAAATGTAAGACCCGAGTCCGGACCCGCCCCTCCCCCAGGCCTAGGCCCTGTTAATTATCACGATTAGGCTAAGATAAACGATAAATTTAAAGCAAGAACACAAGAATTTACGTGGTTCACGCAATCGGTGTGATTACGCTAGTCCACGGCGAACGAGAGAGAGATCTATTATTATTCCAGCGTCTGGTGTGTTTACAGATACATTAGGGATGTTTAAATAGGTTTAAGAAAGCCTAAATAAGGGTTAAGGCCGCAGGCCCAAAAATTAATCCCGTCATTAATTTTTCCCGTATACTCGATCGAGTATACATACATACTCGACCGAGTATAGATTCCAGAATTCTGCCCGAGTAGTGTTTTTACACATACTAGACCGAGTATACCTCCATACTCGATCGAGTATAAACTCCAGAATATAACCCGAGTACCCCTTACACGCATACTCGACCGAGTAATGATCAATACTCGATCGAGTGTAGAAACCAGGGAAATACTCGACCCATCAAACACCTCATACCCGATCGGGTAACCCAACATACCCGATCGGGTATATACTCCTGCATTCCAAACAAGGCTCCATCTTCAACAGGCCCGACCCGGACCCAAGAACCGGGCCGGTCCCGGTCCCGGTCCCGCACAGTAGCGGGCCGGTCCGCGGACCGGGTGGGCAGACCCGAATCCACCCCTGGTCTGGATGGAATACCAATGGTCTAAAACCGATGAAAACTATTGATAAGCTTGATTAATGTGTTTTGCCAATAAAAATGGCCTGAAGGGGGTGGAAATGAAAAACTGTTGGATGAAAATCATGAAATGTTAACTTCCAACAAAATGGTGATTTAGGTTTGAGAGATGGTCTTAGCTAGAGATGGACTCGGACGGGACCTGGCCGGGCTTCGGGACGGGACTGGGCAGGCCTCGGGCTTTAGGATTTCAGGCTCGGGTTTGTATCGAGACCAAGTTGGGCCAGGCCCAAACAGTACCAAGCTGGGCCAAAAAAAATCGAGCCCAAAGCCCACCCTTATAGCCACCGGGCTGGGCCCCGGAATGGGACCGGGCCTAAATAGCACCGGGCCAGGTCGGGCTTCGGGTTGGGCCAACCCAGTCCATCCTAGTCTTTACCCTTGAGAACCTTAGTTTTAGTGTACTATTTTTTCATTTAGTACAAATGTTAAATTTTATTGATTTAAAGAAAACTCATGTTTTTTGTTGTTGTAAAGAAAACTGCAGACTTCGGAGAGATATACTCAGTGTGACTCCTGATTGACCATATTGAAAGCCACATTGCAACTCATCCCCTTCCAGAACAAGTAAAGAAAGATAGCAATACTACTGTACGAGTTATTACAATCAAAGAATATATCACAACAAATTCCAGATAGTCGGAGACTTGAAGTTGGAGAATGGCGACCAGAAAGACGCCTAGTTCTTTGGGATGTTTTTTCCTACAATCTTGGCCGGGGCAATTCTAAGAAGATTTCCGGGCTTACCAGGAAGAGCACCTTTGATCAGTACAATCCGAAGCTCATCATCAATCTTGACGACCCTCAGCTTCCGTATCTTTGTCTTTGTCCCTCCCATTCTTCCGGGCATTTTCTTGCCCGGGTACACCCGCCCTGGTGTCGTGCCAGCCCCTATTGAACCAAGCTGTCGATGACTCTTTGATCCATGAGTCATTGGACCTCTCTTGAAATGATGTCTTTTGATTCCACCTGTTATAACATTGACAACACTTACTTTCTAATAGGGGAGTCCCACTATGGAATATTACACCAGTGCAGTCTTGATACAAAGTCCATTTCTATGTTTGTTAGCATTAATCAATTTTCTGCTTATATACAAACTGATGAGAATAAGTAGCACTTAGGGGCAGAAACGGTTCGGATACGGACAGGCCAATTTTAGGCCACGGAAAGAGAGAAACCAGAACCAGACCAGGTATACCCAATTCCAGTTAAGGTACTCGGCTCTAGTACCCTTCTGGTCTTAGCCAATTTAAAAGTAGAACGGAACCAGTTTGGACCAGTTTCTGGTACCGGTCCAAGTTGCAACATAAAAAACTGTCCACCTGTCTCGTTCCGGTTCCAAGTAACATTTGACTTGCTTACTAGGGTGAAAATTGGTTTTAGTGAACACTTTGTTTTAAGGAAATTCAAAACGTTAAGAAGTACTCTGTATAATATTTCAGCCAAATAACTGTTACCATAAGGGGAAAAATTCAGGATATGATTCTTTGATGAGGCTAAATTTCATAAGATAGTGCGAAAAACCTTACAAATCTGCAATGACAATGGGCTAAATGTTGGAACGCCATTTCAGGTAAATTTGCTCATCAGATGACAAGTATTATCAACATTAGTATATATTCTCTAGCATGAACATTACACCAAGCTCTATATCAAATCAATGGCAAAAAAAAAACTCTTTCAAACACTTCTTGTAGCCTATTACTGCAAATATAAGGCAAAATTCTCGAACGTTTACAGTTAAATTATCTACTACTATTATCATTATTGTTAACTACAAAGGTTAAAAAAGAAAAAGAAAGACTGAGAATTTAACATTTGACAACCTATATACATATGAAGATGGAAATCTGCTATTATTGATATACTTAAACCCTGGTATCAGGAAATACCTTGAAATCCTTTCCCAATAGTGGTACCAGAGACATCAACTAAGTCGCCTTCGCTGAAGAGCTCGCTGAACAAAAGTTTCTGGTTCGGCTCGAAGCCGTCTACCGACTGGAGCCGGAACTCCTGCAAATGGCGCAACGGGATTATACCCGATTTCTGAAGGTGTCCCATTTCAGGCTTGGTTAGCTTCCGGTCCCGGACGCGGCGATAACCTACTTGAACGGCGCTGTATCCGTCGGTAGAATCGGTCTTGACCTGAGTAACGATGTTCCCCTCACGGAATCCGATGACGGTGACCGGAACTATCGTGCCAGATGGCTCAAAGAAACTCATCATTCCAAGTTTTGTTCCCATTACGCCCACTCCAGCCTCCATGGAAGACTTTACTGGGAAGTAAGAGAAGCGGAGCGTCGGTGGTTTTAGGGGTTGGTTAATGGATAGAGGACGGTTGGGGAATAAGTGGTGGAGACAAAAGGAGGAATTGTTAGTGATAGAGCTGGTGGCGGAGAGCGGCGGCCCGGGGCGAAGAGAAGAGATGGACATTGTGGGCGTTTGAGGGAGTTTCCGGAGAAAAGCCTAAAAATGGAAAATGGATGCCCGCTTCTATCCTTATCCACCACCAGCAGCGCGAGAAGGGGATGGGGACTGCTAAAGCATGATGAATTTTTTTTTATTGTACACAATATTCTATGGACACAAGAAGTATAATCTGTGTACACATACTCATGGCATGATATTCAGAGCATCATCAAATTGAGTCATGTTGTACACACATTTTTAGTTTTTTTATACGCTAGACAAATCTTTAAATAAGCTATTTTTTGTGAATATTTTGTTAACAGGCAAAACATGTTCGTCAATGTCAGAATGGCTGCTTTGTCCGTGAGTTTGCTTTGTTTGTGAATAGGCTATTGATTTGGAAATGATTTAATTTTTTCGATAATTAAAATGGAAGAAAAATTCTCTCTATGAAAAGTTGTTGTCATCCGTCTTTTTTTACAGGGTACAAATATCTCAATTCTCTATTGATAGATATAGTTTCAATATTAAATAGTAGGATATCTATTCATTGGGAAATTTTGGATTTATTATGGCAAATTGTTAAGATGAAACTGTTGCCCTTTTTTATAACAAGTGAAATAATCTCAAGTAAGTGGTTACGTAACCGTCTTCTGGCGAGCGAAAGGTTGGGCTTTTTTCGTTTCAACGCTTTTCCTTTTTATTGGTATTGGTTATCTCGTTCTTATCAATCTTGTCTTTGTTTCTAGAGCTTTGAGGGAGTTAGATATAAGGTTTAAAAGATTAAAGCCTTTTATAATTACCTCATATCTAATTGAGTTTAAAAAACTTGTAGATAAACATCCGATGTGTCAATCAAATGAGGAAGTGAGGATGCTTTGTGTGTGAACAAGCTATTCATAGACAAAAAAACAGTTTGAAGGTATTGTATTGATGTGTACAAAAAGTGTGTATAAATAGTTTTCAATCACATTTGTACACCTTAACAACGGGAGAGTATTTATCTTTTGAATTTAAATCGCTGATATATAACATAATCATCGATCTAACTTAGACGGTCATTTTTGAATGTGAATCGCCTTTATTGATATATAAATAATCATTAACATGACTTCAGATTCAACATCAATTTCCCTTTCCAAATGAAACTCATGCAATCCAAAGGTCCCATAACCTAAAATTGAATAAAACTTTTAACTAATCATGAGAGAGTTTCGAAAACTTTCCGACCATAATAACCCTAATTCTTCTATTCAGAAAGACATAAAAAACTACTAGATAAACACTCACACATAGTATTAGATACATTCCCTTTCGATCTTTGACAGACACTAGCCCCTTGACAAATTACTCCCGGAGAGCCGTATTATCTGGCTCGCCCTCGTTCCATTTTTGAGGTGCACAATTCAATCTCCACTCTTGCCAAAATATCTTGTTCTTCCTCTACATCTAGCCTCTTGCGGTTTAGGTTTGTCTTATGATCTTCTCGTGGACATTTTCATTCCATCATCCATAACCCTTCCTTGTGAGCAGCCTCCCCCCCTCCAAGCCTCCACTCTTGTCTCACTAGAGAACATTTATTAAGAAGCAAAATAAAATAAAGTTTTGCAAACATAGTATTAAATGAAAATTCATGGATAAAACTAGAAATGGGTTTAAAAAAACTCCCAAAAAATGTTTATATGACTTTTATACTCTACCATGTCGCTATGGCAGTGACCAGTGACCATTGCCGATTAGTGCTCACGGCCACACCGCCGGTCACGCATGAGAGCACCATCGCAATTGACCTGCCACCCCATCTGTGACAACCGCCTCCCCGACATTGACGCTCCCCATCCCCTACACAATTGTTGCCTACCCCCACAACCCAACACACCCCTACAATCGCCCCATCCCACCGCCATGCCCCGCTTACCATTGCCCCAACCATGGCCTCATCCCCATCCCACCTTTCATTTCTGAATCCGACCCTGGGTTACGTGCTAGCTAGATTGGATATAATAAAAAAATTTGTTTAGACATTTTTCAAATATAATTTTATGTTTACAAACTAATAATTAGGGACTTTAAAATGACATTATAACCAAGACCTCTTAAATCTATTAGACGGTCTGTCATTATTGTGATGGTCTTAGAGTGGTAATTGCAAATGTGATCGACAGATTTTGCCAATAAATTTAGAAACATGAAAACGAAAGTCAACACTTTGAATGGTATTTTGCAAATGGTATATAATTAAGGAAGTTTATTATTTTATATATATGTTATTAATACGTACTCACGAAGTTCCATCGAGTCTATAAAATTCATGACACTTTGAATTCGATAAACTTATAGTGATGTCTAAAGACTCTTTCTTGAATGTAGCATTGCTTTGAAATATTTTTAAACTCTAAATTAATTATCACAGACTTTCGTAAAAAAATGATTAAACATTCAAATTTTAGTCGAACCCTAAAAACAAAAGTCTACAAAAGCATGTTTATGAAGACTGAAATCTTAAAAAAAGGAAATGTTTGAAGAGGTAATTAAGTACCGGTCGAGTGTGATAGGTAATTAAGTACGTGACTAATTAATGATTATGGAGGGGCGGAGGCTGGAGGGTTTGATCATTAGGGGCAAAAAGAAATACAAACAATGAAATGTATTAATGTATTACTCCGTATATAAATATCGAAATACATTGTACGGAGTATTAAATTTGGACTTTTTGGGACCTTAGACGACGATCAGAAAAACTCAATTATCAATATTTTAAGACACTCGGTATATTATTATAATGAAATGTTCAGTTTTCCAAAATCATTAACGTCCGACATGTTTATTTGAGTAAAACCTAGGAAAGCAAAAGAAATGCTAGTAATAGATTTCTTATTTATTTATTTCTTATTTATTTATTTCTTATTTATTTTGTATCACTGAATTCAAAATAAATTAAGTATGAATAATGTTATTAATTTTTCATGCATATTTAAATATATTACTCTTTATAGTCTCTAATCATAAAAATAGACATATAAGATAGAATTTATCTCACGTCAAAGTTTATTTACGTAGTATTAGATTTGGTTAACATTTTTTCTCCCACATATTTGTAGTTTCACAATACTTTCCACAGATTGAATTTTAATTTTATCTATTTCAAAAAGATTAATGTAGTAAATTTGGGATTATATGTACGTATCTATCAATGATAATTAACACTATGTTTCATTTTAATGTAATAAAATATTGCATTGAGTTTGATCATATACGATGCCAAGAAATAATTGGTTGGAACCAAATTAAAACCAAAGTAAAACAAGTTAAACAGACCAAACTAGATAAAATTAAACAAATCAGATTAGATTTGGACATTTATAAAATACATAGAGACCAGACATTTATCAGACCAGATTAGACTAGCCTTAAATAGATCAAACCAGATCAGACTAGCAAATTTCAGTCCAAAAGAAAACATACTTAGTCTAACACCCATTTCCCGCAACTTAATTACTAGGAGTCCAAGACCATGATAATATCTGCTATGGTAGTCTGTTCTGAATTTAATCTACAAAATGGCGTTAGATAAATTAAGGATGTTTTTACTTGGACTGTTTTCAGTCCCAGGCCAGATCAGAGCAGAGCCGATCATACCGGATCAAACCAGATCAGATTTGACAAATATAAAATACACAGAGACCAGACGTTTACCAGACCAGACCAGAAAATTTCAGTCCAAGTAAAAACATTCCAATTGTACGGCCTTGGTCCGGCTTTGATTTGGACTCTGGAATCGAGGTTGTTGTCTATTGTATTCATGACTAGCGGATTTGGTAATATAGCTGTTTGGGTAAAAAATTAGTAGAAAAAGCCATTTTTCAAAACGTCAACCCAAAACCTTCCTATTAGCAGTGCTTTCATTTCAGCGTTTTCGTCCAAAAACGCTAGTGTCAAACAGCTATTTACCAAACAACTTTTTAACTTATTGAAAACGCTAAAAGTGTTCAAACCGTTATTTTTCGGCTAAAACGTCGTTTATCAAACACCCCATAGTCTATTTTTTCTATATTTCAAGTCTTATTGTTTTTTTTATAACTTTTCTACACAATTTCAAACACAACATTTAAATGTAAAGGCTAAGATTGGCATGCATGGTTGATAAAATAACTAAAATATTGAATGACGTCGAAAGAAAAAGATATAAATTTTATAGGTTTAATTTTATGTGTGTATGATCTTTAATGAGCATATTTGTTGCATACTACTTACTCTATATATTTATATATGATCTCACTCAAAGGCGTAGTCAGAATCGAAAGTTGGGGTGAGATGGTACAAAAAAAAATTATACATAAATTTTTACATTGAAAATAGAAAGAATTTTCAAATTTGGAGTGGACTGCAACCCGATTGCCCTCCCCTACTTCCGCCCTCCTCTCACCATATATGCAAAAACGAAACGAAAAATTATAGATGCTCTCACCTCAACCATCACGAATAAACTGTCCCACCATGTACATGTAGTATCCAGTTCTTATTATATTATTCCAAAGAAGTTGAAATTCCTTTTCAAGTCTCGTGTCAAATTAGTATTCATATATGCTTGATTAATAAATTAATATAACAGGACCCCATTCTTGTTTTGCGCCCGGCTTCATATAAGGCCACAAGAACCACTCTATATGAATTTCATTTCATGGCGGAAATGAAAAGTCTCTTCCTTTTCCTTTTGGCTTTGTCGATATCACTGGGTGATGCTCAATCAGATACAAACACTCTATTGATTAAGAAACACTTGAATCGTTTCAATAAACCTCCTCTCAAGTTCATTCAGGTATTTAAATAGTCTTAAATTTATACTCTATAAAAATATTAACAAAAACATGTTTTCAAGTTTTGTTTCTTGTTAATCTGTCAAACAAACAGAGCCCAGATGGAGACGTCATTGACTGTGTTCATATATCGCACCAACCAGCCTTTGATCATCCCTTTCTCAAGAATCATACCATTCAGGTACATTAGAGATATAATTAAACCAGCATATACCATCTTTGGTTATATATTATATGGTTTGTTTAACATGTGAGCTCTAATAATGAAGTTTGGTTTGTTGTAAGATGATGCCGAATTATCATCCTGAAAGTCTATTTATGGATGGTAAAGTTTTAATGAATAGAACCAAGAGTAAAAAAAGGCCAAGACCAATTGCTCAGCTTTGGCATTTGAATGGGAGATGCCCAAAAGGAACTATTCCCATTAGAAGAACAAAGGAAGATGATATCTTGAGAGCCACTTCGATTGAGAGCTATGGGAAGAAGAAGCTTAAAAGTAGCGTTCCCATACCTGGGTCCTTTAATCCTAACGTCGGCACCACAAGTACTGGCCACGAGGTAACGAACACTGTTAAATTTATTTAATGGTTTTTTGAACAAAGTGGTCTTAACTAACGGGCTAAACTCTAGTGAATCTAGAAGCTCGTTTGATAACATTGAAATTGACTGAATCTATTGAATATGTTGAAATTGGTGACATTCCGACTTAAGCAACTGAATTGACTTTTTCTATTGAATTATGAAAAATAATGTTTAAAATATATGTTATTAACATAGTAAAGAAATATTAGATGAAAAAATAACTAAAAATGGTTAGGTAACTAAAAAAATTCAGTCAGAAAAGTAACTTCAGTCTTACATATTTTGGTAATTACATAAGTTTGAGTAATTAACTAACATGCTCTAGGCTTGTAAAAATGAGTAAATCTAGGTTAATCCTGGTATAAAGTTGTTATACTTAAATCTAGGTTCAAGTGAACCTAGACTTAAACTTGGAAGAATCTAGATTAAACTGAAAAAATGAAGAAAAAAAGAACATCTCATTAATGGTGTATGTACATTAGTTTTTTTGCCAAACAATTTCATGTGGTTAATTGATTGTATTGGTTGGTTTTGTTAATTTGGAGTTGTTAGCATGCAATAGCCTTTGTTAATGGAGGCACATATTATGGGGCAAAAGCATCCATAAATGTATGGGGACCTAAAGTAGAGCAAAATCGTGAGTTCAGCTTATCACAGATTTGGATTTTGGGAGGAGATTTCAATTCAGATCTCAATAGCATTGAAGCTGGTTGGCAGGTATGAATTCTTTTCTCTTTTGTCTTCTTTTCATTTTTTTAACTGTTTGTTATAAATAAATGCATTATTTATTGGATATGCTTGGTCAAATGATGAACAGGTTAGCCCATCCTTGTATGGAGATCACAACACAAGACTTTTCACCTACTGGACAGTATGTTACTACCCTTTCACCAGATTCTTTCATTTTCTTTGTTTTCTTCCAAATATGAAAACAACCTTAATGGGGGTACTGTGTTAAACTTCTTATTTATAATATTCATATACAGAGTGATGCTTATCAAGCCACCGGTTGCTACAATCTTCTTTGCTCAGGCTTTATTCAGATCAATAGTGGAATAGCAATGGGTGCTTCCATTTCCCCTCTTTCTAGCCATCAAGGTTCCCAATATGATATCAGCATTCTTGTCTGGAAGGTATTTTTTCTTTCTAATTCATATCGCTTTCCTGCTTATTTATTTACTTTATCCAAATCATTTATATTTAAAAATAGTTGGGGAATTTCCCAAAACAGGAGTAAATGATAGATGTTCTTTTCTAAATAGGAGTACTATGTCTTGTTTTCTTAAATACTGAGTATAAGTTAAATACTGTCATCCTGAAATTATACCAACATATTATGACATTATCTAGCATTAAAAGATAGAAATTTGACCTCAGTATGGTAGCATTTTCATAATTAAATAAAACATGACAAATCCTTTTGGGACATCCGTTTCAAAAAAAAGGGAAAAACATCCTTCTCAAAATTGTTTTCCCACTTCAGCTTGCACATTCATTCGGAAATGGGAAGGTATGGGTGGTTGATGTAGAAAATGAGTTAGAATATTAACTATACAAAGCATTCTTATATGAGATGTGTTTTTTGCAGGACCCGAAAGATGGAAACTGGTGGATGCAATTTGGGAAGGATAATGTGGTAGGGTACTGGCCGGGAATACTATTTTCTAATCTTCACGGCGGTGCATCTTTGGTAGAGTGGGGTGGAGAGGTAGTGAATGAAGAGTGGGGCGGGGTGCACACAACCACTCAAATGGGAAGCGGTGGTTTTCCCAGTGAAGGGTTTGCGAAGGCGAGTTACTTCAGGAATCTTAAGGTAGTTGACGCGTTCAACAACTTAAAGGATCCTGAAGATCTTGGCACTTTCACTAATAACTCCAATTGTTATGATGTGAAGATGGGAAAGAATAATAAGTGGGAGAATTACTTTTACTATGGAGGACCTGGTAGAAACTCTAGATGTCCATGACCGGCCAGCTTGCTTTTATTAACGTAGATATGTAAAACGAAAATTCTGTTGCTATTTTCCTTGCGATTGCATTAAGTTTTTCTTAGTTCTTTTTGTTAATGGTTTAGTGCGTAGTTGTACAAATATGTGACATAACCATATATTGTGCGGAGTACTTTAAAAACAGTGTGCAGCTAAGGTTTCCCTAAGGCTGATATTTTTCGGGTTTATTTGCATCACATAAAATGCTTTCATAGTTGTGAAATGCTAACAAAAATTGCTCTGGTGAACGCTTTCATATTTGGATAACGTAAGGGAAAATCACACTCGTAAAAGATATCTATGATGTACACAAATTGTCATATACGGAGTATTTATTTTTGGATCTGTAAATCTACCATTTATCCCACAAAACTTATTCCCTCCACAGTTTTCTATTTCTATTCCTATTTTCTTTTGGAGTATTTTCACGTTTCAAATAGCCCTCATTGCTTAGTTGTTCTTGCACAACATATGCTCCAAAATGCAAGTAGTGTCTGTTTTTTCTACTTTTGAGAAGTGGTTTATTTTATTATGAAAAATGATTAATAATAAAAGTTGATAATATATAATGTAATTAAAATTTCATAATGGGTAATACATAATTTGGAATTTCACAAACCTATGTATTATACATAGGAGTTTGCGAAATAATATTACCTCTGTCCCCAAGACTAGGACAAGGGGGTAGTGTATTTATTATAAAAAGTGGAATTGTGTTGTTATTAAATTAGTAACATCATCCGACTTTAAACTCGACAATTTTTACCTTGACCATAATTACTCCTATTTAGGAATAATGACATAAAGCTCATATTTTGAAATTCCAAAACATTTTTACTCATATTTAGGAATTTTCCCTTATTGTTTCTATAAGCACTCCTCCTTTGTTCATGAATTCTTTTTACTAATACAAATACAGGTTAATAATCGCAAAAAGGGAACTAATACAAATAGAGAGAAGCAGAATTTACTAGAGAGCAGCCGTGATGAGCAAAAGATCACATGACCTTATTGTTTAAGCAGAAAATGGGTAAACTGCGTCACACATTCCAGGGTTTTTGACACACCAGAGTGGTTGGATCGGTTCAGCGCCTATACCCCGGGAAACCATCCTGTACCTCCATTCATTCAACCTATTGGTAACCTCTCCAGACCTCTTCTTCATTGTCTTCCCCATTTCAACCGTATTCCCGGACCACAAAGATTCAGCCATTGCTGAAGCTCTAGGCCAAACACGAGAATCCAAAACTGTTGCATCTGCTTGTTCAGACCATAATGCCACTTCTCCTCCCAACACTAATTTAGCCTCCTTGTCGCTCAATCCATACGTTATGTCATAGTTGTAAATAAGCTGCCATGTTTTGAAGGGACTACACCACGATCCACCATTACCCTGGTCAGTTCCCGGTGGCTGATCATACCGGTTATCGTTTCCAAGAAAACCCCCATGCCCACAATCCAAGTAAAAAAAGTCAGATGATGACACGATGACACGATATCCAGCATTGACAATTCTTTTAGTGTTATTAGGCCCGTTGTTCCATGTCTGCAAGATGACATTCTCTCTGGGAAGAGAAGAGGGTGTCACTTTGATGTCAGCACTCAGTAGAACATCTTCCCAGTAGACAACTGTTCGGTTTAAGGAGACAATGTAAGGCAGAGTGGATTTAATGAAGGTTTCAAGTAGTTGACTTAGTGTCCCATTGTCAGAGACAAACTTTTGGATGGATGGATCGATGTTCCAACAATTTGGGTTTATCTCATCTGCTCCCGCGTGATAGAATGTGTCAGGAAACATGGCAATAGTGTCACAGATGACATTCTTGACAACTTGATAGGTTTTTGGGTTCAAGGGATTAAGTTGACCGGTTCCTGGTTCAGCTGCAAGTGGTATGTTGCCTCCATTAGACAACCAGAACATGTTTGGACAAGTCACAATGTCAGGGTAAGCTTCTGCCCACGATCCTGTGTGTCCTGCAATGTTTCCAAACCAGAAGCTTGTCTATCACCATTGTAATCACATATATAAGGTTGTAGATAGATATGCAGGAGATATAAAAAAAGATAGATAAGCAAGAGACTTTGCTAGAAAAACCTTATTGCAAACTCTTGGATCATCATCAATTAGTTTATGAGTTTAAATTTAAAATTTATGTTAAAAAGAACATATTAAATAACCTAGTAATATCTTATCATTTCATCATCATTTTCATTTACCCCAGTGCCGCAAAGGCTCCCACCTACGGTGGGGTAAGGGGGGTCGGATGTACGCAGTCTTACCCCTGTACTAAAGCACAGAGAGACTGTTTCCGGATGACCTAGAGTGAAAATCACGTCCAAAATTACATGGACTGACTGCTGCTTCATAACAAAGAAGCAGCAGACAGTTTAGTGAGCCATTTTGCTTTATTCCATCATATTCTCAAGCCAAAAAATAATGAATCTTTGGCATTGCAAATGATGGAAGAACCTAGTAATATCTTATATGCTCACAAATTTTAGAAGAAATATATTATACATATAGGATTATATGACATTCTGTGTGATTTCTTTGTTCAAATAAAACTTCTGGGTATTGTAAAGTAACTCAAAGGTTTAATTAAAAACTTCAAACTTGTTTTCAAAGTAAAAATTTTAAGAGCCTATATGGCAGCTAAAACTGGTACATTAAGGAAAAGTAGCCCACATAGGTAAGACCGTAAGATCTTTGGTAACCTATTATTTTTTCGGCAAAGTAATAAAAATTAGGAAAAATCAGACTTTGACTAACTTATTTTGACTGAAACTGATTTCACTGAACTGTCTTCTGTTTTACAAAAGTAACCAAATTTAACTATAATTGTGGTTAAAGTTTACATGAGTACCACTGTATCACCATAAGTTTTCTGTCATTACTAATTTTTAAGCAAAACCTAAATTTAACAATAAATTTTTGAATTTCAAAATTTCGGGAAAATTAACGTACTAATAATTCACCCATGCATTGCAAATCAAGTGGGCAACCCACAACAAATCCAAGACAACAACAATGTAAAAGATATGTTAAAAGTCAATATACAATATGAAATTGAGGAAAAATTAGTTAATTACTCTGTGCATTATCAATATAAATTAGACTAGTGTCCGTGAAGGTTTGGAATCCCCGCATGAGGTATGGTGGCTTTAGGATCCGACCCAAACGGGATCATCACCATCCCTAAAGAAGAAGCACTGCATAAGACGAAAGAGGGAGAAATTGAACCTACCAGGCATGTCAATCTCGGGTACAACCCTAACACCGTATTGCATCCCGAAATCAACAACTTTCTGCACATCCTCCGGGGAGTACTTCATTTCCTCTCCATATGAGCCACGGCCGGCCAACTCCGGCTCTGACGGCAACACCAATGGGAAGGATTGCGAGTCCGTGATATGCCAGTGGAAGACATTCATCTTATTCATACTGATTGCCATAATTAACCTCAACAAATCCTCAACCGCATAGAAATTCCGGGAAGTATCCAGCAGAACTCCGCGGTGAGGGAACAAAGGCGCGTCGGAAATGTACAATCCGGCGGCCACCCGGGACGGGTAGTCGTACACGAGCTGGGAAAAGGTCTCCAGCCCGCGCATCGCGCCCCATACTGTCTGTGAAGAAATTAAAGCGCCGCCGCGGCCGTCGTCCGGAACAGAAAGGGTGTAAGACTCGTTCACTCCGTGAGTTAACGGGGCGGAGACGTCGGAGACAGTGATGTTCAGGTATTCCAGGGGCGGGGACGGCTTGAATTTCAGTGACGGGGGAACTATTGGGCGGTGGAGCTCGGTTCTGAAGACGTTGACGTAACGACTTACGGCGGGAGTCAAGTAGGGATGGGCGGGGTAGTGAACCGTGAAGTCTGGGCTGAGTGGAACTGCGCACGGGCTGGGCCAGTCGAAGATTGTGGGCTTGGGCCAGACGTTGATCGGGAATTCACTGCCAGCTTCCGAGGTAAATGCAGAGGAAAGGAGGAGCAGTAGTGTGGGAATTAGGAAAAATCTGGGGATGAAGAGGTCGGCCATGGCTGCCATCATCCCTTATTCCAGTGAGAATGAGAATGGAAACGACTGAAATTCTGTGTAGGACATTCTTCTGGGCCATTTCTAGGAGTACGCTACCTTTACTTTTCTTCATTTTGTCGGTCTTGTTCAGTTGCTTGTATTGTTGGACATTCATTCACTGCACGCTTAATTATTGCGGAGCAGAATGCGATTATGTTTATTTGATTACATATATGACAAACTTTCTTTTAAACTTGTGATTTCAGGTTAGTCACGACTAAATATGTGGAGTGCAAGTTTGATGGAGGTGGAAGTAATGGAATTACTCTTGATAGTAATGAGATATCAGTGTGTGATATGTTTTGTTACTTGAGTTTCATAATTTAGAACTAGATGAAGATGTATCTCATAGACTCACAGCTTGGTTGGATGAAATGGAAGAGTGCATGGAGATTTATATGCGATCGAGGTATTCCAACTAGGCTGAAAGGTTAATTTTATCGAAAAACAATTAAACCTGCATTAATGCATGACCTCGAGTGTTGGGCGGTGAAACAGTGTCACATTCAAAAGATTAGTGTGATAAAGATGTGTATGTTGCGTTAGATGTGTTGAGATATTAGAAAAGACCACTTAAAGAATGAGATAATCAGACAAAAGGTGAGAGTAGCACATATGCAAAATAAGATGCAAGAGTCTTGTTTGAGGTGGTTTGAGCATCTGCTAGAAGACTGAGTACCTGTTAGAAGACTTGAAGGGTGGGGAGAAGAGACAAAGATGAGAGGGAGGGGAAGATCTAAACAGACTCAGATTAGAGAAATTAAAACTAATATGCATCTTCTTGGGTTGGATGAGAGTATGACTTATGAGAGAGCAAATTAAAGTGGAGGGCGTATTTTCTTGTTGACGGTTGATCACTTTTCTATCTTTCCTCTCTTTTTCTTTTATCGTCTATCTTCTTTATCTTGTTATGTTCTTATTTTAATTTTATCTTCTAGTTTTTCTATGCTCTTTTATCTTTTTATCTTTTATCTTTCTTATATTCTTGTGTTATTGTTATCTTATATTTATTTATCTTTACCTTATCTGTTTGATCTTACTTTTTTTTTCTTGTCTGTTTTCACTTTTTGGCACCGATATCATGGATCGATTCATGTTAGCTGACCCCATTTTTTGGGTTTAAGGCTTGGATGTTGCTATTGTTGTTGTTGTTGTTGTATTTTTCTACCTATAATATGCACGAGTTTGTTTTTAGTCCATCTCTAACTCTGAACCACTCTACTTACAAAAACGTTATTGTCAGTTGCATAAATCTTATAAAAAATAAATAAATTTATCCATATACTAGTATAATTTTTTAGGCTAATATGAGAGTTAAAACAATGTAAAATTAAATATTCACATTTTAAAATTTCTTACTAAAAACCTTCCAAGTGATAAACTTAAATAATTTTTGAATAACATGACATAAAATTAGTGAAAATCTATTAGTCGGGGTTAAGTTGAGGTTTAGCGGGGGTTGTTATAATCGGTAATGGATTAAAAAGAAAATCAACATAAATTGTAGGGATAAATAAATTACAGGATGTGAAACAAAATGAACTATATTTACACGGACTAAAAACATATTTAAACCTTTAATCAATGATAATACTTAGTTTGATTTGAATAAGATTTGAGCCTCAGTACCTTGTTCATGATTCCGGTTATGTCTGAATCACAATAGCTGACTTTTGAATTAGAATCGGGGGTTTAATAGCTCGGTTCAATTTTTTCAAAATTTGGAGATGGAACTAATCTAGAATATTGAGAGGTGTTCATGTTGGAAATATTCCGTAGTACAATTATAATTCTTGAATTTCTTTTTATGCTTATTGATTAATTAAGTGATGACATATTTATGATAAGTGTCAGTTCTCTTTATTATTCCGTAATATTTACCCTCAATTAATTAAAAGCGCAGTTATTTTCAAGAATTCATTTGAATGTCTCCCCGATTGAATTTCTAGCTGAAATTTGTTATGAGTAAACTAGACTTAATGAATAAGATGCTCAATAAATTTCATCAAAAAATTCTACCGGGAGCCACCTCAAATGGCACGTCCGGACAGAATCTTCTATATAAGGACTTATTTGACCCCTTTTTTGCAACTTCGAAGACCAAACTGACCCTTTACTCTTAAATTTTTATAGAGGTGTGTGAATGGTCTAGATGATTTTTTCTCATTTCGACATTGTGAGGACAAATATATCATTGAGGCTCTTGGACAAGTAAAATTAATTAGCATAACCATGAACAAAGAAACATCCATTGAGAAAAATAAGGAGGGCACGAGCTCATCTTATTAAATCAAAATATCATTTGGAACAAGGCAATTAGCTATCAAAATAAATCATTAAATAGGTTATTTTGGATTTAATACAATGGATATAACTTGGGAATCTTAACACTCTAATGGCTTGTGGGCATGGAACAATTATATGATCCAATATCTATCTTGCATAAATCTAAAAAGTGAAATACCTACAATGTCAACCCCAATTAAACATATAAATTTTGAAAAATGTTGAACGAGGTTCTGCATAAGGGGGTTTCGGTAATAAAATTCTCTTCCCTCTTCATATTATATATGGATGCCACGAAAGTCCAGTTATAGACTTATAGGTATGTATATCTACACTATCAGATCATGTAGAGAAATATCGTGTAAAGAGAGCGTTATCATCACAACACCTCCAAACGATTCGTGCGTGAGCGTGTTGATACTTGTGGCGCTCGAAAAAGTTATCTTAGATCATTTGACATTCTACGTGTGTTCAAAACTCTGTCTGTATGTTTCCTTTCATGTAGTTCGTTTAAAATATCAACTCCAAATTGTGTTTGAAATTCTGAGCAGATAACAAATTATTTTATGTTGTGCTACCTCTACCCCAAATCCTATAGGTTATCTGATCATGAACTCTCTTAAGTGTGTATTTGATTTTATAGATCGTTTTCACCTTGTTCCTTTAATGTTTTTTCCATGACATCTTCATGTGATTTATAGGTTACTGAATTAAATTTCAACTACAACTCTCACCATTTCAGTCAGAATTTTAAATAAGGATATGATGAAAAGATGGATACAACATCACCATCATTCAAGGTCTGTTAATTGAATGGTGGTCTAAACAATCGTTCATCCCAAATTGATTAAAATAAGGAAGATTATAGTATGCTGATGTAATGATAAACCCAAAACGGACTTATCAATGTGATTCTAGAGAAATATATATACATAAATTATGTTACAACAAGTTTATATGTAAACGTATACAATTTTTATACATTGGGATAAAGTGGGCTTTAGTATGGGCAATTGCCTTTCAATTCATGCCCCTTTGTGGACCACTTTTTGTACTCTTAGGGTCAATATTGAAAAGATGAAAGTTCATAATCAAAAATTGAAATGAAAGGATTGCGGTTGAACCAAAAGTAAAATCTTTTCTTAATAAAGTTCTGTTATAATTTTATTGTTTTAATGGAATTGGAAATTGATTTTGTTTTCATATTATGAGATTAACTAATTTCTAGAAGTGATGAACATTTTCAAATGGGGACGAATAGTGCGTCTTAACTCTTAACATATTGCATTTCATACTATAAAAACAAGAGGATCAAGTCTTCGTCCAGACAAATAGTGCGTCTAAACTTTCAAATGCAATATGTTAAGGCGATGTTTGCGTTTGCTTGTGCTTATCAAAAGTGATTTTTTTAAGTGATTATTGGAAAAGTGATTTATAGTAAAAGTGAGTAGTGTTTGTAAAGAGAAGTGATTTTAATCAAAAACTAAAAGGTGAAGTGTTTAATAAAAAAAGTGATTTGTGGTATAGTATATGAGTGAAAGTACAAAAATACCCTTTCAATTATTATTTGTAATACATTTCTTCTCCTAGTCCTGGACCGCCAATGATTTCAAGCTTCAACCGTTGCTTTTGGTAAGATCAGGCAAACAATCTCAAAAAAACATATCCAAACAAAATTGGGTTTAACAAAATTCTCAAAAACAGGATAAAATTAGTGAATTCAAGTTTGTTTGTGTTGGCGTGTTGCTTTGTTCCCGCTGGACTGACCTTCGGAAATCAAGGTGGAGCTTTATCGGTCGGGAAATAGAGAGATGAAGAAGATCCGCTTTTAGATCAAATGAGAAGAATAAAATTAATCAACGCAGTTTTGTTGGTGTTTCTTTGTTCCCGCTGGACTGACTTTCGGAACTCAGGATGCTTGAGTGACAAAAGAGATGAAGAAGAAGGGTAACATGGGCTGATGGGCAGAAGAGCAGAAAAGTGAAGGGATAAAAGTCTCCTCAATTTTGCATTTATTTACAGTTGTACCTAAAAGCTGATAAAAGCACCCCAGAGGTGCTTTCAGCTTCTACGTAAAAAGCACTTAAGTGAAGCTAAAATTTGTAATAGCAAACACTCCAATCAGCTTTTCTTTAAAAAAAAAGCCTAAAGTGCTTTGTAAAATCAATAGCAAAACACTGCCTAAGTTGTTTCACCCTAAGAGGTTAATTTCGTAAGAACAATAGCCCAAAGTGTGGGATAAATAACTCAACATGCTCCCAACCAAAATAAGGGTGAACAACTTGATGCTATACAATTAATAGTTAAACCTGTACCATTAAGTTTAGACTTAATTGTCAAGCCTAGACTGCTTGATGTTCTATTTCGGGCCATAACGACTTTCACTTTGAAATTTTTTCAATATATATAAATATTAAACTCTTCAAATCAATCCGTTTAACAACATGGTCCAATGATTAATCCTATTCTATACTATTTGTAAAAGGATGGGATTTCCAAGAATATGAATTTTAAGATGAAATCTTATGGAACCAGTTAGAGCCTTTTTGAATGGTTAGTTGTTGCTTAAACGGTCAAGCTAAATTTTGGAAAGAGTTGTTTTACCAAATTTCTTGTGTTGCTTTTGCTTGATTGTGAGAAGATCAAAGTATGATTAAATTCTTAACCCTAAAGCTAGTGCTTAGTTGAACTAGTATAAATAAGTATTTCATACATCTTTCTCTTTAAGTTTTTGCACCATTTACTTTAATAAAATCGAGAAATGTTTCAA